TAAAAGTTTAAAATGTTTAAGATAATTGTAGGCATAAGTTTTGCCATGTTTTAGAAGTTTCGTCGAGATAATGAGTTTGTTAGTTGCAGTAAAAACTATAATCTAGAAAACAGTTAAGTTTTAAAGAACATGATGATATATAAACAATTGTCTTTAATATTGTTGGTCTCATACTGCCATAATTAAATATATTCATGTTTACAATAATCATAGTTATTTAAATGTGATCAAATACCTGCTACATAGTACAAGCTCTACGAATGACAAAAAAAAAGGAATTTTCAAATAAATTTGGGTAATTCGAGTATACCCGAAACCCAACAAACGTACCCTGTACCCAACCTGAAAAAAATCGGGTTACCCGAATACCCGAAAAAATTAACCCGATACCGAATTTACCAGACTCGATTTACCCAATACCCGAAAAAATCGGACGGGTAATTCGGATATCGGGTATTTTCGACAGTGCTAATATATATATATATATATATATATATATATATATATATATATATATATATATATAAAGGAACCTCGTTGTGTAATCTGGCGGAGAAGGGTGGTGGTGGTGGTATTCCGGTAGCTTTACGGCCAACAAGATCTTTTTCGGCCAAATTGCGGCAGAAAACAAGAAAAGTCGGCAAGAGGTTGCAATAATCGATGAGGGTTCCAACAATCTGACTCTTAGGTAACTGGGAGAGGAAAAAGAAAACGACAACGACAACGACAGAGAAGGAAAAGAAAACCCACCTATGGCCGCTAGTTCTGCTTCCTCATCGTTGGTATTACGATTCATCGTCGCTAGTGATGTGAATAGTCGACGAAATTGAGGGAATGGGAGTAAAAGCCGACTAAATTGACATAATGATTTGGTATTCGCCGATTGAATCGACAGATAAAATGAAGGCATAACAGGAAAAGAAAGTAGCTTTTTTCTTTGTGTATATCCCGTCAAACCATTAGCGGAGACAGGGTATTAGCGATGACGGGAAGGAATTAGCGACGACACGATTGAATTAGCAGCGACACATTTTAAAAGGAATATATCGCGGTCATTTTTCGATCATCAACGGCGACAGCCATCGCCGCTATTGCTATGTATGACGTGTATTCTTAGTTGTTGGATTAGGAACAAAGGATTATGAACAAATCAACGGTTGGGGTTTAATATTGTGGATTGACACAGATGGGGGTTAAACACTTTTAGCGCGGACGCCTTTAGCGGTGACATTCAATGCGAAAGTTGTTGGTCGCCACTAAAGGCTGTTGTCGCCACTAATGTTGATTATTCTTGTAAGGTATTATGTTTTTTAATAAATAAAATTAAGTTTTTCAATGAAAGTGATTGTATCTTTATTTTAAGTTTTTTAATAGATAGTTAAAAGAAAATTCAAATTAATTTAGTATATATAGAAAGAAAAATTTTTAGGAAAGTCTTTAAATTTTAACCATATTAACGAAAAAGCTATCTATGATTGTTTATTTATAATTTAGCCCTCAAAACTGACAGTAACCAAATACAACAGTCTAAAACATGATTGTTTGTTTACCGGGATTTTGGGCTTAATAGATCCAAACTTTAAAGACATTTTTATAGATTTCCATAATATATTAATACCTTCAACGTCACGTCAAAATTCTAAATAATTAACGCATGATTTATTCATATCCATAACAATATTCAATTATTCACAACTAAAAATGGATTCTTAAGTCAGTCCAAAAGAGGTTATATGTACGTCTCCTATTGAAAGTCGAAGGAAAAGAAAAAAATTAGGATAATTACACCGTACAGTATAGTCAAAACTCTCCCCATGTTTAGGCAAAGGCACTTGAAAACACAGATCTATTTCTAAACAACCAAATCGTCCCATAACATGCCCCAAAAACAGTGAAATATCGCTGTGTTTGGGTTGGGTTTGGTATTATTTTAATTGTGCTGTATTTCTAAACAACCAAGTGTCCCATAAGAAGCCCAAAATACTGACAACAAGCCCAAAAATACTAATAAAAAATCTCCCCCTATTTGGGTTGGATTTCCAACCTATCTCTTGGTGTTCATTTGATTGTGCTCTACGACTGATCAGTGATCACATTATAAAAACCAATTTATGATTCTTTCGGAATACTATTTTAGGGATTCAGTTGTACAAAGTTTATTAAATAACATATAATATTAAACTCTTGACATTGTATTCAACCACCCGTCCTCCCTCTGTAATTATTTAGTGTCATATTGTTAATCTTGTAGTTATACATGACACATGGACTAAAACCTATTGACCAAAGTTTGCGCTAAATTCCCGATTAAATCCATTATTGAAATTAATCAGGAACAAATGTCACCTGTTTAGTAATGGGTTAATTAATTCTTTGAAGCCGGCATGCATACCCTATTTTTTGTTGTTTCAATGGTCTAAGAGAATTTCGAAAGATTGTTATAACATTTAGTCCGTGGAAAAAAATTGAGATAATAATGCCAGGATCATAATTAAATTTGGACTAGTAAAATAATGTTCCTTTTGGGGTAGAGAAATTTCATATGGTACAAAGAGCTACTAGAGTATATATTCTAGAGAAATACAATCAACATAGAAAAGAAATCAATCTGAATCCACTGTATCCTCGTCTTCTTCCTCATCATCTTCATTGCTATCTTCACTCTCTTCTACAATATCCTTACTACCACCACATTTGCTCCCTTTCATTTTCTTCTTTTTACGATCCTTGTTCACTTCATAAAGAATCACCATGAGTGCTACCACAAGCACGTAATCAACATTTGGGGACACGGTTATTGCAAATGTGTTCTCTTCGGACTCAATGCATGTATCAATATGATTATTGTGCATCTGCATTTAGTCACATTGACCTAGAGATTAATCCTTGCATCAGAAAGATTTCAGAATCTTTATAACGATTCAGGTGAAAGCACAAGCTCTATGTTACCTTCGCAAGGATAGTAGCACCATCATACGAAGAGACTGTGCAAGATCTTTTCTTCCAGTCTCCTACAACCTTATAATCACCTGTGGTTTCCTCTTTGTTGTCTGCTAAGAACACATTTAGCTCCGTGAGTTTTTGAATGACTGACGACTTTTTTGTACTAAAGATCAAATCTTTTGCGCTTGTGCTCTCTCCTCTGAAAGCTTGCCACCTTCTATGCATCGTTACACGCTGAAAAATTTTACGTTTCTCAATTGCAATTAATTAAAATAAATTATCGGAGATCCTAGTTATTTATATTAAGATTAGAGTGTGGGAGATGAATGAAAAAGCATATGAAATATTTTGTTATCTTAGTAATGAAGAGAAAATGTGTACTCGCATTACCAAAAGAAGAACATTAATCGCAAGAATGCAAAAACGGAAACTACTAGTTATCCAATTAGAGAATATTTAAATGTATACGATGTAATGGTTTTCTTTTCTCTTGAAACATCAACGTGGTTGAGAAGCCTATTTGCTTCCATAATTTCAAAAGACATACCTGTTTTTCTAATAATGAAATCACACAAGCATCAAGTTCTATTAGGGAACAATGGTGAGAAAGCGAGCAAAAAAAGGAATAGCTGACTATGGAATGAAAGAGAAAACAATAAGAAACTATATTCAAGGAACAAAACATGATGTAATCCTGCCTAGCTAGCGCTATAGTTCAAATTAAAAAGAAAAAAACGGCCAACATCCAAGAAAATTGCCATGAAAATTTTATAACGTAATCTGATGTTTGATAGAAGAACAATAATCAAAAGCGTCTAGAAAGTATACAATAAGAACATAAAAGATCGAAGAAAACCTTTTTCTGAAATGTGAGGATCGGAGCTTCTGATGCATCTAGCAAGATATGACGATCGTGAAGGCTAAAGTTTTTGTCCTTAATTATGAATAACACATTTCCATTCACGTCCAAAACACTGCTAAGATTGCCATCTGCAACAGTCAACGAGTTTCTGACAATGGCAAGATCCACCTGGTAAGGTGAAAAGAATCTTGGGTCCACCACTGTCATCGTTGTTACTCGTATGCCAACGACGGTGGAGCATGAACCCAGGGCATGTAAGATGATGGCCAGGTGTGATCAACACCGCCGCGAGTATGGAGGTTCATTAGCACTGTTGGAGCGCCTTGGTCCCTCTTTCTCTCTCTATCTCTCTTTATACGTATATCTCTCAATTGGCCAATTCCCTTTCAAAAATAGGCTATGTATTTGTGCGTCCACAGATAAATGGTTAGTAGTAGTGATCGATATTGCCGAGAAATACTCTAAAGAAAGATTAAAAAGATAATGTTTTGCAAGGGCGGAGGCAACACAGGGGCTAGCAGGTGTCCCCCCCCCCCCAGCTTCCTTTACTTCTATTATATACTAATAAATATAAATTTATATATATATTATTTAAGCCCAAAATAAAATTCAATTTAAGCCCATGGCCCTCCTATAGCCCACTTAATTTAATAAAAATACAAAATACATCACTTACCACAATTTCAATTTAGGAGACGTCAATTTATTCATCGCTGCCGGCAATTACTTCAAAGGGAGAATATCAATTGCAGTTTAATTATTCGACAGTTACTTCAAAGGAGAGCATCAATTACAATTTAATTCATTGGCACTCTCTCTCTCAAGTTAGTTGGTTGCTTTATGTGTTTCCATTTACATCTTAACTATGATTCAAAATAGTTATATCTAACATTTGTAACTTGTGGTTAATATTTATTTTGAATAGTATAATTTGTAATTAATGATAATATTATGATTGGTTAATTGGTTTGTTAATTTTTATAATTATAAGGTAAACCATGAGCAAAAAAAAAGAACAATTGATTCTTTTTTCAAACGACAAGAAGATGTTAATGACCCACAACCTGAAAGAAATAGTAATATGGAAGAGCCCGTTAATGTTGAACCTGAAAAAAAATGATGCTTCAAATTCAAGAGAGGTAAACTTAGATTCTTTGATTCGTGATCCCGGAGAACGACCTTTGATCTCAAGTTATCCAAGTCACCAACGTGATGAGATTAGATGATTATATATTAAACTTGGACCATACCAAATTCAAAAATCAAAGTATCCTTCAAGTCCTAATACTCCACATGGTTCTATGCGTAGTTTTCAACAAGCTTGGTTTAAAAAATTTTGGTGGTTGGAATATTCCGAGAAAAAGGATGCTACATTTTGTTTCCCTTGCTTTCTTTTCAATAAGAAACCTATTGGACGAGTCGGGTCAGATACATTTATCGTCGCAGGGTTTAATAAATGGAAAAAAGTGAATTGTGACAAAGATTGTGCTTTCATCGTCCATGAAGGTAAGACCCCGGCCTCAGCACATAATTTTTCTGTCAGATGCTATGAAGATTTAAAAAACGAGTTGTGTCACATAGAGAATGTGATAGAGAAACAAACGACTCAACAAGTTATGGATAATAGATTACGCCTTAAAGTTTCTATTGAGGCTATTAAATGGCTTACATTTTAAGCATGTGCTTTAAGAGGTCATGATGATGTGCGCAATCACCCACAATTGAAAAAAGCTTCTACACTTTCTGAGTTGTGCAAGGGTCTACATGAAACTGGAAAGGCTGGTACTTATCCTTTGTTTGACAGATTGATTCGCATTATATTGACGCTTCCCGTTTCTACTACGACATCTGAAAGAGCATTCTCAGCAATGAAAATCGTGAAAACACGACTTCGGAATACCATGAATGATGATTTTCTTAAAAGTTGTATGCTTATTAACATTGAGAGAGAGATTGCTGATACATTTTTCACAGATAAACTTATAGATGATTTTTCTTCTATGAAGCAAAGACAGGCACAACTTAAAGTGAGAAAGGTACTATTACTTATACTTTTACAAATTTTTTAATTGTATTCTTCTAAATTGAACATAATATCATATGTATCTATGTTCTAAGTCGTTCTTTTAATAATAACATGTTAATGTATGAAAATCGGTGCTTATGATCGTTTGAAAACTTTTGAAGATTGGTTCTTGCAAAGATTGATATAGTTCATATTTAGACGATTTTTTTTTCTTTATCAGTATCTCTTTCAATTTTACAGACTCGATTATGTTATTCAAATATTTTTTTAAAAAAATTATATATAAGCCCCCCTTATCTTTAAATCCTGGCTCCGCCCCTGATGTTTTGTAATTCTACTTTTGATTTATCTAATTATATATACTATTAATTCCCCTTGTGAACAGTGTAGTTTTTGTACTTCTGAGTTTCAACACCATAGTTTGCCGATTTGTTATTTTGGTCCCTTTCACTATTTTGTATCACAGTCCCTGGCTGCCACAATATACCCATTTTGCTCCCTCCACCGCCTATCTAACCGAATGAAACGTTGCACCGCCTTTACTATCTTTCTCCCAGCTTCTTCTTTATCAAATCGTTTCTCACAATTCCTATAATTTCCATCTTCATCCTCGCTATGACCCAACACAGTAGCGAAACCCTTGAATTCCTGTAACCTCCAATACCTATCTATTTCCATTTGAAGCAGATGATTTCGATTTAAGAGCCTTTGCTTCTAATTTTTTCCAACCTAATATCAGACACAGCTATCGACTGATCATATTAGGGCCTGCTTGGTTACGCTTCTCTCCACAAATCAAGTCACCAACCTATCACTCCTTTGATGGATTGGATTTTGCTTGCTTCTTTTGATGGGTTCTGATTTTATTTAGCCCAGGATGAGTTTTGTTTGTGGAAAAACTTGGTGAGGCCGACGACAACCATCACGAAGGGTCTAAACCAAGTAAAGAATGATTGTGTTTTTGTTTATGTTGAATGCTGTTTCTTAATTCTTATACATACAGTTTAAGCGATCGTTTGTTCAACGATAGGTTTAATAGAAACCATGAGGAGTTGCATCTATTCAGCATAATATTAAATCATGAAATCAAAAAGCAATTTTCTGGTATTGCAATCTCATCCAACTTTATTTTTAGGTCAATTTAGCATACCATGTGCTTGATGAAATGTTTAGGAGTAAAAGGTTAATGAGAGATTTGTTAAACAAGGATGATACACTAAGTGAAAAAAGACATGGTAATATTTCTTTTAATATTACCCCTTCCTATTTAATATCTGACATTACAAAGAAGTGTATACTGACATTACAAAGAAACTCTCATTTTCAAGGAATATCTTATGCAAAAAGTGCAAAGGGTGCATCACAAAATTTCTATTTCTAATTTTTCAAAAATATTTCTGTAACTTAGATTCACCATTGTGACTACCTAAATATTGGTCATCTATATTTTATCATTAAGAACTCAAAGGAGTAAAATAAAAACTATTTGCTTAAATATAAATGGGTCAACCAAATTGAAATTCATCCAAATTGTATTCAAATAGTTATAACCTATGAATTGTTTTACACACAATGATTAGATTTTTTTTTTCACTTAGTATATATTATTCTAAAGGATAATCATAAAAATGACAAAAACTATATTTAGCACTTATATTGCTCTTGTAGCCTTTTTCTCAATTATTGTAATTTTACAATTGACTATATTTAGCACTTATATTGCTCTTGTAGCCTTTCAGCTTAGATGCAAGAACTAGCAATGTACTTTTATGCATTTGTATGTTATAGCATCCTACACTTATCTTTTGTTAGTTGTGTTTTTTCCAGGTTCTAAAACCATTTACCCTTATTATTTTCAGCCTTTAACATCATCCATAATGATCACTTTTTGAAAACCATAGCCAACAAAAGCTTTCTCTATATGAATGTTTTGCACAGCTTTAATTACCACATGTGCCAAATAGATACATTTTGGATTTTACAACAAGAATTAGCACTTTGCGTAAGATTCATGTGATAAAATGTGAAAAGTAAATTTAATGAAAGTAGACTACTATAAAAAACAAGTGGAAGTACATTGTTTATTCTTGCATTTAGCCCTGTAATAGCAATGTACTAACATTCAAAATATGTTCACATGGAAAAAGACGTATCTTGAAAGTAAGATGTTGTAATGAAAGTATATTGATATTTCTTACATGTAAGTCACAAAAAGTCAAGAAAACAATATAAAGGATTTTGTGTTTGTTTGTGCAACAGATAAACGCATCCACTGAAAAAAGAAAATAGAAAAAAGGACTTTCCCCAAAAGTTCTTCCTTACATATAATCCTTCCCACTCCCCCTTCGGAAAACAAGCGTTGTTATATAGATAAAGTTTATTACAATTTTATATTTGAGATACTACAATTATACTTTTTCATTTTCGCAAGGATTAAACTTGACATAATTTTTTTTAATAGATGTTGAAACTGGTATGATGGGCAATTGCAATCGATAGGACCCTTCAACTACACAAATAATATCAAATCAACCAGCCATGGGTTTGCAACATGGAGAACTTGGTCGGGATACATGTATAATAGTAAGTAATCATACAAAAATCGACCCCATTGCGTAGCATGGGTTTTTTTTCTAGTTGTAATGAAAGATGTTAAATGCATAACTTATCTTATCTACACTTTCACATATGTTTAATTATAAAGACAACAGGAAATAAAAGAGGAAATTATATGGTGAATTGGTGATTCAACACTTTGGAAATTCGGTATTTCAACACTTAGGCCTTGTTCTTGAATTTTTTTAATGAAATGAAAAAGACAAGGAAATGGAGGATAATGGAATGAAAGTAAATGGAAGACCAAAACAAATTATTAACAGGGTGTTTTGCTAAGTTTATTTAAAATGATAAGCACTTCATAACTTATAGTTTATTAGCTTATTACGAAATTTTTAAAAAATAGTTTGGATTAGCTTATTCGGTATCAAAACGCTATCAGTTGATGAGAGATTTTTAGTGTTTAGTAATAAGACCAAAAAAAGACTTCCTATAGATGTTGGACATCAGTTTTGATAAGTTAGAGGTTAGGAACTTATCAAAAATTGTTTATCTATGATTCCACATTGTTATATGCTACTTTTAAAAAACATATTATCCAAACAGTCATTTTAACTTATACAGATGTGGAACTGGTAATAAGTAAAGAAGCTTCTTTGTTAAGCTTAGCCAAACACACTTCAAATGTTTTCCTGAGTTAGAGATGAATGGAGTGAAATTGAAGGAATTAAGCCTTGTCTTGGATTTTCCATCCTAACCCGCCAAAAAATGGGCATATATATATATATATATATATATATATATATATATATATATATATATATATATATATATATATAAAACAAAAAACCCTAAAAATCATAAAAATGCATAAAAAAAATACTTAGAGATCACAAAACTTTTTTTTGAATTTTTTTATAAAAATTCGCAGCTTTTTTATTAAAATTCGC